TTGTGACTGTCATATATTGTGACCAGAGGGGGCGATGTTGCGTTTCTACAACAGAACTTGGCAAAAGATAAGATAAGATAAGATAAGATAAAACTTTATTGATCCCACAGTGGGGAAATTTGCACATTACTGCAGCTCAAAACAGGAGAGGGTGAGATAGAATAAAGAAAGATGAGTAAAAGAAAAACAAAAAACACTATACTCGTGAAATATAACAATGTATATATACCTAGTACAGTAAATAAATATATGTATATGAAGGTACATATTAGTGATGGCAGTGTAGGTGGGGATGGGTACCTTTGACATTTGACAAATAYATTACATATTCTATATTTACATTATTTTTAATTAGGTGGGAAAACTACAATTAAGATATTTCGCAATGATAAAATAGATTTTATTTTTTATTTTTCCAAAGATCTTCAGATTTGTATAGTATCCTTGTCGGTGAACAACTGCAGCGTATTTATCAAGAAAACAGCATCTCCTCAGGAGGAAAACAGATTGCTTGCTGGCCTGCTACAGACTTCATCAGGTCATCTGAATTGATGATACATGTTGCAAGGCGGCTGAGTTCCCCCGGAAACCTCTGTTGGAGAGCATGCTGGCAGAGATGGGGGCCTCGGCCAAGTCTGTCTGACTGATCACTACAGATGCTCCTCTTCAAGTATTCTGAGTCAGATCCTTAGTGCCGGGTCTTGAGGGACAAACAATAGCACCTGTTCCTCATAAGATAGCCCATTCATGTATTTTTAATGAAGCCTGGGGGCAGATGGTGTGAAATGACATTATCCAGTACTTAGCAGTGCTAAGACAAAGGAAGAGCAGTGCCAGCACAACAATGCTCCTGTATTTACGAGGAGAAGGGAGGACGCTGCCCGAGTGCCCCCTCCCTTCTTACCCTTCACATCTGCTCCACTTCATTCTCCAACTCCTCAAGATCATCTTGGCAGTAGAAATGTCCTGGGCACCGAGCCCATACATAGATGAACTTGAGGGTAACTCTTAAAGGCACAGGGTTGGGTTAGTAGTAACAGAGAAAGCCACGCTAAACTATTTTTGTTTGTTATTCCATTTTCTTAAACGTCTTATACTTTAACGCAAACTAAATGGGTTAGAATCTGCTCAGTTGCTCCACCGGCTGTTAATTGACAACTCAACTAACCACCTCTATTTGTTGACACCTTGAAGCTTCTCAAAATTTGATTTGCCTTTCTCTGACATTAGCTGCTGTAAATTAAACTTTAATGCTCACAGCTCATTACTGCAAATCACAGCCATTCACACTCAATGCATTTATTTCCCCTTCAGCGCACATTTCCTCTCTGCCCTCGCCTCAGTGAACATTGTATATTCTGCTCCATATTTTAAAATAATAACAGTAATAAAAGCTGATATCCCAGATGAAATTGTATCACTTAAAGTTTATCATTTAGTGGTGCTTGGAGAAAAATCCAGCTATGTATCAAATGCTTTTAGCTCAAGTATCTTCTGTAAATGCATGGAGTCTAGAATATTTTATACAGTTGTGTTACATTAGCTCATTAGCTCAATTTTTTGGACACTTTTTAGTTTTTGACTAAAATGGTTGAAGCTGCAACACGTTTTTGATCATAATTAAAAGACTTAAGGGTTTCTGATCTATGACTACTGTATGCTCAGCAATAAACTCCATCTGTTTTACCAGTCGAAATAAATGGACAGAGAAATGCTGTGTTCCCCAGTGTCCTCCCTGAACCCGCCTGTCCTGCCCTACCTCATGTTGTGACATTAATTATTGTGTTTTTCCATATGTTCCATACAAGCAAGGCCAAACTCCCTTTTTCATTCATTCAGCTTGGAAACTTGGAACGCTCATCCCCATGAAATAAACTCCCCAAAAAATGACATAAATTTCAAAACATTTGTCGCAGTTTTCTTAGGTATTAGTTTTTCTTCAACAACAGCAGATTTTTCAAATTACCTTTATAGAATTACATACTTTTTTTTTTGTTCTTCTATCTTGTAACTTCAGCACCTGCACTTCGGTAAAAGCTCAGTAGACATAAAATGACTGTTTATTTATTTTTCAATCTAGCTTTGCACCTCTGGACAAATCAATAAAGTTGCCTTAAGTGAATTTAGCCTAGCTAGCTATGAGACAAACTGGGTGCAACTATTCCTGTAAAGGGTCCGTGGGGGAAGCGTTGCGAGCTGAAAAAGTGGAGTTCGCAGCAGACTTCAGCCAGAACACGGGGCAGGTTGATTTCATGCCCCAATGCAGCGGTAATAATTGCACCCAGACCTGTTTTATTGCGAGTTGATTTTAAGGGGGGTGGATGAATGGGGAAACATTCTGTAAAGTGTTTATTTTGGGGGGTGACCTTTATTAACCCATTTTCCAGCCTGGTTCCCCTGAGGTGATCTGGCTCGATGCTGGATTAACCCTCACATGCCCGTAGTAGCCAGGCTGCTCCCAATCACGGGGTCTCCGGAAGCTGGGAATGACAGAAAAATTGGACTTGCAGCATGTTGGCAAAACCTCACACACCTCTTTGGGAACATAAGCTCCTCAACCACTGTTGAAACACCAAATGTAGGGAAATTTTTCATATTGCCAGTAGGTAAATCAGCAGTGAATGTAAAATAAAAAAAATCAAGAAAAGTAGAATTGGACAATAAAATGAAATTCAGCAATTGTTTACTATATACATAATTGTGTATTTTAATTTTTTTCTTTCTGTTATGTGTTTCTTCAAGTCAGTTTTGTCTCTGCACCTGAGCAACCAATCTTCTTGCAGTATTGCTCCACAGAAGCTACTAAAAACTACAGTGCTTCTGTGCTTTTTGTCCTGCACGGCACTTCCTCTTAGTGATACTGTGCCGATGTGGGACCTTTGATGTACCAAGGTGAAATTGGGGTTTGGATAAGGAAAAGGCATAGTTTGACCATGTATTGTGTGAGCACACGAGAGCTGTCATTGCAGCACAGCCCCTTGTCAGCACGCATTAGGAGGAGCTGTGATCTAACCTCCCCCCCCGAGAAGGCTCTGGGTTTCTGTGTGCCATGCCRGTGCTTAGGCCTTTCTCTGATCTCTGCTCCCTATCTGTTCAGCAGGTCCAGGGTCACATGCCTCCGCTCATGATCCCCATTTTTCCACACGATCAGCGCACTCTAGCAGCAGCCGCCGCCGCGCAGCAAGGCTTTCTCTTCCCCCCAGGAATGTCTTATAAACMAGGTATGCTAAGTCTTTCACCACACTCAGCTTCCTGTTTTTAGTAATATTTTGTATATCTGTTTGTTTTTTTGTTACTAACAAAAAAAAATACCAAAAAGAAAAAAAAACAACCTGACTAAAATGTAAGACTCAAACTGCTATTTGTCTAAATCTGAATTTGAGTGTGGTAATGTTCCAGTCTGCGTGGAACAATAACTACTGGAATACAAGGAGAGGAATGCAAACATGCTGTCAACATGAAAGCATCTTTCAAAAGTGTGCAGGCTGTAATTGCTTTTTAAGCAATCACTGAGTTCCAATAACACACGTCTTCCCATATGTTTTTGCAGAGTGAGGTGATAACATTATGTAATCAAAACTATGAATATTGGTAGCTGGATTGCAATCTGTTTACCTTGCTTGTAACAACATAATTTATACGTTTTGTCTTTTGAAACGACAAGAAAAAATGCTCCTCCCAAAAAAAAGCTTTTTAAAATATTAAATATATTTGCTACATTAAGTAATACCTTGCTAGTAATTTCACAAACCCATATGTTTAAAAAGTAGATTCTCACACTCCAGTGCAAACTCACGACCTAAATCAGAAGACGTTTTTGAACACAGACGTGCTTCTGTATCTGCTGGTTTTATTTATTAGACTAAAACGGAGTATGGCTATCACAAAAAAACTAAAAGTTGTCCTGGCTCCCTAACCATAAATTATGTGTCAAAGAAAAAACCATCACAGATTTGAGTGACTAAAAAAAAGAAAGGCCCTTCCATGTTGCAAAATAACTCCAGAGAAAGGGAGGAAAAGAAAGACTCAAAAGTCAGCAGGTTCACAACAGAGCATTAAAAGGTGTGGTAGAGCAGTTAATGAATTAAGTATAGAACCACAGGATGAAAAAGAAAGTCAGCTATTTTGAAACTATGGAGCCATGACAGCTCAAACAAAGTGCCTGAGGGGAAGTCTTTTACCAGTGCGCTTTTCGCAATAGATTTGACACGGAAAATGTTTTAGCTCAAATAACAAGAGCTATTATGGAGTCATGGTCAGGGGTCACAATGTGTAAGATCCCTGCATAATTCATGAGTTCATGAAGAAATAGTAAAGAGGGTCTGAAAATGACTCTTTTAGTCAGAAGAGCCGAAGCTTTTATTATTTCTGCACAGCATCGGCAAAGAGGACAATGCTATCGTCGCCGCCTGCAGCGTTTACAGGAGGCTAACGTGTCCTTTCACCGTGAAGTGAGTGGCCAAGCATTCACTCTCAAGACTAAGGCAGACTAATCTGATGTTCTCATTATGAGACAGCTCACAGGGGCCGCTGCTTATGACCMCCCGACCATGTGGTGCTCTTATGGCAACAGAGTCATTCTGGCTCAGTGGTGGCAGGTCATCACTGTGTGCGCTGGCTGTGCCCAATGACCTGCTGTTGCATGGTAGACAAGCACAGTCATAGGGACACCAAGTCATCTTTTAAACAAATAGATTCTACTTGGACTTCCTCAGTCCGTTTGCACTGTTCACACAGACGCGACAAAATCTAATGGAGCTGCAAAAATAACCCCGCCGTCTTCAGTTTCTCGGCCATTCTTCCTTTTGCCACGAGTTGAAAGTTTCAACAAACCATTTTAACTTRTATCATATAAAGTTTAAACAGCATATTTTTTATTCATTCAAGTACATTTTTTTAGATTTAGTTGCTAAAGTTGTCCTTCAATCTCCCTTGACAATCTAAAGTTAAAACCAATATGCAAAGAAAAAGGAGATCAGGTTTGAGGTTTTTAGTCATAATTTCCATTCACCGTGATTTGATGTAACCTAGGAAAGACCTCATCTCCATCTGTCAACCCTCAGCAGATCTATGACTTATGTTTCATGGCACTACATGAACCTGGAAATATAGCAGTGGCGTCACCTGCACTATTTCCCRCCGTAGCATTCAGAGTTCAAACTCTGGGCATGAAAACATCCACTTGCAGTTTTAAATATATATATATTTTAAATGTAATTTCTTTTCAGCAGTGTGTGACGCCAAACTGGAGTCAGATTCCTCTACACAGACTGTGAGCACCCAAGACCCAGACCTTGCTACGCGAGACCTCCTCCCCCCAACAGTCGTAATGTGGCACATGACCCTCTCCCGGTTTCACATGACATCTAAAGACATCTAGCCATTTATTATCCTCAAATCCTACGTCACAGTCCGCAGAGAGCAAATGAGACACAGAGAATGCAATACCAAAAAAGAGGGTGTGTGGAAATAACCACGCTGCACCCCCCCCCGTCGTACGTCTAACCTAGCACTATTTGAAACCACTTCTGCTGTGTGATTTTATTTGCCACTAAATGGGGATTGAATTTCCATGGCCTGTATCACATTGTGCAGTGCTGTACAAGATTGCAGAGTGAGACGTGCGAACGGGGGCAAAGTGAAAGAGAAGGTACATACATTTAACTTGTCTGTGGCTTAATGGCTCCATATGTTTGTGAGGAGAAGTGACAGGCAGAAGTGGGGTCTGAGCGAAGGCCAACAACCCACCCACCCTCCCACTCTGACAGAGCACTCCACCTCCCCTCCTTCGGACACAGCCTTTTCTGTATGACTGCCGTGCCTGTCTCTTTGAAAATGTTCTGTCCACCTCGAAGCATAAGGCTGCGTGTGTAAAAGCCTTGGCCCCATCATTGATATCACTCAAACTGGGTTTTTTTTACACCTGTTTGATAAATGTGCTTATGGCAGGCCAATGTAGCACAAGTACAGCTTTTTTTTTTTTTTGAGAAACCAGTTCTTTGTTATGTGATCACAGTGATGAATGAGATAAGAATGTGTTGATTTTTTTTCACCCTTGTTATTGTGACTATACACTTGTTCTAACCAGTTTGCATACAAGCGCTTTCACTGCGCTGCCAAAGCCATCACCCGAACAAACAATGTGTTGAACAATAGCCAGACAAGTCTACATCTGTACGGACTGCCTGAGAGAACATGCCTAAGCCTTTACAAACTGAAAACGAGCAAAGATATGTGAAATGTAATCAAAGCACACGCATGTACACACTTGGACACAAACTAATAAAACTAAAGAGTGACAAAGTTGTTTAGCTAGTGTTCCCATAATATAGTTTTGGATGAAAAGAGTGCAATGGTATGAAATCCTCTCAAAAGCTATCCTGTTCGCGTCAAACCACCTTTTGTTAATGCAGATGTTTGGGCTAGACGCCGAGGGCTCAATGCAATGTGCCACACTGCTGTGGCAGAAGCAAAAAAAGCGTCCACAATCCATGCTGGCACTTGTTTGGACGCTGTGGGCCGACACATTGTCTGAACCTGTACGCATTGTTGTCTCTCTCTCTCTCTCTCATCTGACAGGTGATAACTACCCGGTGCAGTTCATTCCATCCACAATGGCAGCTGCAGCAGCGTCGGGACTCAGCCCCCTCCAGCTTCAGGTATGCACAGTTCCATGACAAAGAATGCTTGGGATGCCCGCCAAGCTCAGGGCAAAAGGATGGCTAAGCAGCTGTATGCCAAGTAATGAGCTGCACACTAAATAATCCTGGAGGCCCCCGGCTCACACGCGCTTATCACCTTACAAATGTAATTTATCCCCATTTTATAGAAGATTTATCCCCTCTGCTTCTGCCACACAGAGGAGTTAGGAAGATAATAGTTATTAGAGAGAATGAGAATCACTATAGCTACTTTAATCATCTGTCAGTGAATTTATCACAGGACAATTGGCTATGGATAAAAAATCTTCCTTTTATTGCTTTTGTCTAATAAAGATTAATATTTAATTTAGTTTTGTGAGGGAAAAACGATTTAAAAGATGAAAAAACATCTGGGAAAAAACTAAACATGTGTGAATAAAAATAACTGTGGTAAATAGTCCTAAGTAAGGCTGAGCAGAGGTTTATGAGACTGTGAATATGTTGAGATCGGCCCTAAGCCCTACGGGCTGCTCCAGGAATCTTCTCACACACTATTTAAAAAAGCTGAACTCGGGTCAGGGCTTAACCTCAGGCAGTAATGCTGCACGTAGATAATTATCTACATTCTATCCTTAAAGGTAATAGTCCAATAAATATGGCTATGATTGTAAGTTTCAGTTTGTGTGTAAGAGTCCTTTTGTTTTGATTTTTTAAAATTTTATTTTTTAATGTTTTGATTTTGCATATTTCTCTGTTAGAATTTCACAAGAATCAATATAAAATAACTCATTGTTTATATTTCATTTATTTTTTTCTTTTTTCTGTTTCCCACACACCAATTCTCACAAATGTCGCACCTGCTCAGTGATTTTCTCTCTTCGCCATTTCTTAATATTACCTGATATTATTCTGACAGTCTTGTTTTGTTTTTGATTAGATTTCTGTGTTGGACCTTTCACATGTCTTGCACTTTCCTTTGTTTGTTCTCTTTTGTTGTTTTCAATTTTTGTGAGTAACTGATTGTTGTTGTTGTTTTTTTTTTTTTCAAATGACTTTACCCCATGCATCATCTTAGTTTGCAAATTGGTTCGAATGATTGTTTTCTTAAATGCTTATTGGCATTAATATGCATATGAAAGTAGAAATAGGAATCTGACAAAATGTGTGTAGTGGAAATCTTTATTTAACAAGGACAAAAATATGTTATAAGAGACAAGGCACTTTGATGGTCTGAGTTTGTTTATTGCAAGCTGCAAGACACAAAGTGTAGCACAACAGTGGTTTTGCTGCTTCTTTTGTTATCAGTTTCTGGTGAAGCTCTGAGTAATTGTAGATCCTGTTTGGATGTGAAGTTAGAAATCAGTGTTCTTTGGAAACAAAGGAAGAAGTAAATAATAAAAATGCCCATCTCTGTTAACATATGGTTTAGTGGCCATGTTGGCTTTGCCAATGATAGTTATTTTAAAGCCTGAACCCTTGGTGCTCTACAGCAGAGAGAAGTATATGAGAACAAGCGAAACTGGCAATAAGGTTAATAAATCTGCACACTGATAAACGTGACATTTATCACACTGACGTTAACACTATTAATGTAAACAAGCCTCTGCATGTCCTAACAATGCATGCAGCTAACCCTAAAGAGCTGTGTGTCATTAAACAGCCACAAAGGTGCAGAATGAGTCTGCTCATGTTTCAAGATGCATTCTTGTAAAAGTTAAAATACAGTTTGTTTTTGTGACTATGTCTGTGGACTAGCTGGTGTGTCACAGTGAAGTTCACAGGAAGGGTGTGTCAGTTTAGACAGACAAGCACAAGGCTATTTATAGGGTAGCGTGAGGTCAGATGAGACAGTCATATATCTAAGGTTGGGGTGAGAAAGGGGAGTTGGGTCTAGAGTCATTAATTCCGATTATGTATCTAACCCTGGGAATGGGCAAAAACAGTGCCTCCAAGACCATGACTTGGCTGACCTTTACAGAACACGGTAAACAAAAAGAGGTGCATTTTCCATTAATTGAAGTCTGTCAGCCTGTCACATATTCCGCCTGCTGGCTGCTATTTACCCTACGTAGAGATTCCCCTCAAAACAGTAAGGAAAGTCAAACATGCCCTTTTCTCCATCGCTGGGATCAACAAACCATGTGACTGCCACCACTTCCTCGACAAAGCACTGGGAGTCTGCTATGATTAAAAGAAGTCAACTCAGACATGGAATTAAGTTAAAGTTGCGTCCTCACTTTAAGGGTGGTAATACCCTTCTTTAAAGTCAAACTAGAGTAAATGGTTCTGGAGCATAAAATAATATCACTGAATTGGAAAAAAATGGTTTTCTCATAATTTAAAAAGAGAGATGCAATGTCTTGAGGTTTTAAACAGTGAAAGATTTTTTTTTATTTATCTAACTGAAACAAAAAAAGATAAATAGTTGTTAATTTATTCTGGGCCTTTTTTAGTAACGTTACATTAGTTTATTTTTTACAGTTCTAATTTTCAACTCCAAGTCCATTGTTTATCTCCCTCATGCACCAGCACACACCAGCAGTTACAAAATCCCACACACATATGGCTGAATTGGCTGCTCCCACTAATTAAAATCTCTCTTCCTGTCAGCTCCCCTGTAAGGTATAATTTTCACCAATTTACTCAGTTTAGATTGTGCAATATATGAACCTTAAAAAAATCGTCTTATTGGTAGAATTATTTCCCAACAATGTTGTTGAGGTAATGTGATCAGCCATCAGCCAGACAGGCCAGCCGCTCTGCCAGTGTTAATGTTGGCCACGCAGCCTTTTCACAATCTCCTCTGTCATAACAGTCTGAGATCCTCACCCTCCGCGATTCTCTGCCTTTTCTCTCTAAGAAGAGAAAACCCAACAAGGTAACAAAGGCTTAGAGCTGATGGATGTAAATAAATCTTCCACGATGCATTTGAGTGTTGGGAGACTGTAATTTGCTTGTCAATACAGGGTGGTAGCATCACTCTGGTGGCTGACAGTCTGCAAGTGGCTGTCACCAGGCGTTGCTGTACCACAGGGCAATTTCACTCAATGTTTTCCTGACAGATTGGCTCTGGTCCGCAACTCACAGGAGAGGAGGCGGGTAAACTACCCCAGCGCGACATGCCTCTCTTCATTAGTGCCCACACAGAGCTGGGATGAGCCCAGGACCAGCAGGAAACAATAGCTCCATCCCTGCCTGTCCTTCACTGATTACAGCTGACACATCTCACCTAAAAGAGGAAATTGTGCTCAGATTGTACCCCAATCTGTCCGGACACCTACTATATTCAATCGAGCGAGGAGACAAGAAGGGAATTTTCCTAATTCTACAAAAGAAATTTCTATCCGGGGCAGCATTTAATTTGCTGTTTGTACACTATTCCTTGGATCAGTTGGCAAGTGAGAAACTATTTACTTAAGGAGAATGTGAACTTAATGCACCACCCGTCTTTTTAACCAAACAAATGAACAGTGTGGACGGCCCTCAACAAAGTCCTGTTTGTGTCACTAAAAGCGGTCGCTTGACTTAAAGGCCGTTTTAAAGAAAGTATCACTGGATAAAACAGAACATCTGGGTTCTCTGTATGTAGTATCACTCTTGGGCTAAATAAATGGAGAGAAATCGTCTGCTTTCCTCTCAGTCAAAGCTCCATTTTCTATCTCCTGCTTGCTCAGATCTTGCTTTTCCAATTTCCAATCCACAGTGTAAACCACCTCTAAGGGTTTCAGTTTCTGAATTTCTCTGTCAATGTACCTCCATCCTTTTCTTTTCTCATTCTGCCAACGTGTTTGAATTATCCAGGCCCATGACATCCTCTTGCTATACAGTGCTTATAATTGAGCTGCTTGAGATGAGACATAGAGAAACATTTGCCGTGGCATCTCTTTAGGCCCGTGATAAACCTGAGCCCATTCTCAGCTCGTGCTGCCACTGTAAAGATGAAAAGCAGCTGCCTATACGCTTAACAGCAACCCAGACCACATCTCAAGCAGACAGACACATCTGAAGGAGTACACTCACTAGCTTAGACGACGGCAGCGATAAGAAAGAGTGTTACACAGTCAGGGACAAACAGGAAGAAAGTGGGAGAGCAGCAAACCGCACATTATCTTTTGTTTGGATGTAAATGCCTGTGAGGTACAGATGTGAAGAAATGGCTTCTATCATTAACAAGTGAAGCACTTTTGACTTTGAAAGAGAGGAAGAGAGGAAGAGGAGGAGGTGGAGGGGAGGAAAAAAGAGGCATACTGTAGAGAGCAGCTGTTTCTGTGTTTATGAGCAAAGGAGCTTGGTCTTTGAAGGTAACCCAGAGCAGTGCAGCAATGCTTGAGTGTGAGGAAGGCTGGCTAATAGGACGGCAAGGTGAGCAGCTGGATTGAGGCAGTGGTGAACAGAGGGACAGATGGACAGACAGAGTTGATAATGCAGCGAGCAGCAGTGAATGGCAGGGCTGGCTCCAGGGGCCCTCGGCTTGGAAGTACCCACATTTATACAAGACAGAATGTGATTTTTTGTGTGTATGCCAAGGAGATACTAAGAGAAAAAAATATATAATACACAGCAGCTGTAAGATGGAGAAACGGGGGGGCATGAGAAGGGAGGAGGGTCTGAGTGGAGCAGGTTGAGTGCCAGCAGATGAAACAGATGTGGAGCCATACTGGAAAGCATCGGCACAGTGCACCAGGGCGCCTTCCTCCACTCTTGACATCTGGGCCTAGCTCGGGTCAGCCTCCATGGTCGCCCTGGGCAATGAGCCTGTACAAGCCTTGTGGCAAACGGGGCTGGCGCTGTGCTGCCTTTTAAATGGCGTGGTGCACTGAAGCACACTTAATGCCCTCATATCCAGTCTAGTGCTCAGTGTCCAGACTAAACTGAGGTGAATGAGACACTGACATGTCGAGGGACACATGAAGACACAAGAGTCTGCGCAAGATTGTTTTACTGTGACAGTTTGCTCACCTAAATGATGTAAATTGTGAAGGAAGTTTTCTTTCTTTGTAATTTTGTTGGCATGTGCAATGAATGACTTTGCTGCCTGCTTGAAAACTCCAACTACGGCATCTTTTTTTTTCTGGAGAATGGTGTCATTCTGTGACTTTGCATTAAACAAGTAGATTTGTTTTTCTTCATTTTCTGTTTTGACTAAAGTCCTGTTACTGAAAGAAAAATGATTGGAAGAATACAAATTACATTGTAAATTGAGCTAAATTACCAACTTTGTTTTAATGAATAAATAAAGACCGTTTCTAATCACATAACATACGTCTGATGTGCTTAACGTCATCAGCGGGGTGAGCAATCAAAGTTTAATGTCGCAGGCTGAAAAGGGAACCTTCTCTTTTAACCTTTGCTGCCTCCAGAGGGCTTGTTTTTAATTACCAGGGGCTAACAGGCTAACCTTGAGTGTCTTGCACTCACTTTGAATCTATGCTTGCTGAGCCATGTTTTACTGGAAAACAGGGGACGATGGGGTCAACACAATGATCTCAGGGATTGCATTTGTTTGTTTTTCCTTTTTCAAATGATGGTCTCTAAAATAAGAACTTATACTGTTTATAAAATGTAATTTTTAAAGCTAAATAATAGACACTTTGAATATTGTTGTATGCCATTGCTTTTTTACTAAAAGAGAAAATAAAGATATAGTCTGAATTTATTTTAAAGCTTTTTTGTCCTCTTCCCTAGAATCAGAGCATTGACTTTCACCTTGACCCTCATTACCTTGAGCATTTTTCTGCTTCCACCTGGCCAATAGATACTGTATGAAGAGAAGGCTGTTAGGTGGAAAAAAAAAGACAAGTGATGCAGACAGATGTTTTTAGACTTGGGAGTCAAGTAGCTTCATTTCGAAAATGTTTTTAGATTTTACTTGAGCTCACTGCTAAGATGATTTCTGACCTTGTGCTTACACCCAGCCCATAAAAAAATGCTGAGCATAAAAAAAACATCTTGCATAAGCAGGCTGTAAGAATCCCATTTGGAACTTGAGCAATTGTCAACATAAATTAATGGTATCTGCCTTAGAAGTTCCCATAATATAATAGCAGCATAAAAGAGGCCTGAGCAAGGAATGATAATGGACCAAAAGAGAACAGCTAACTTTAAAAAATGCAATTAAATTAAAGTGATGGACAAAAATTAAATTTCAAATAAATTATTTTACGTTAAAAACAAAGTCAAACGTGAAACCTAGAAGCTGTGCAGTTTTGTAATGAATATAGAAAAGCAAACAGGTCGAACTTCACCTGAAATGTAATGTGATCTTTTACTAATTAAACAAAAGTTGAAAACATTCCCAGCTGCACAATCACTGTATAACAAACAGTAAAATATTTTATGTCAAATTCAAACATGTCAAAATATTTTTTCAAGTAACTTTACACAATAGTTGAATGGACTCTGCATCAAACTGTTCAATAAATGTAAAGATTTGGATCATTCTCAGTACGTTTAGAATTTATTTTTAAGTGCAAGTCAGCAGACTGCATAAAACACATTGATTTTTTTTTTTTGTTTAACACATTACATTGGTCTGCCCCTTTGATTCTGTTTATTGTTCTTTGCTTCATTGAGCATTACTGGTCAGTGCTGTTCAACCTGTAGCACTGACCTCCTAATCAGTGTCGCCATCTCGACTGTGTGCAGTTTGAAGCTAAATCTAATTATGCTCTTTTTTTTTCCTGGGACAATGTAGTCTTTTTCACTGATCAGGGCCATGCCCATCAACAGGCCAGTTATCAAACATCTGTCCAGCAGACATCTGCTAAAGCTTTAGAGTAGGCTGGAGTGACAGTCACTGAATGTTAACTCCTCTTTTCTCTATTTTTTCTTTTCCGCAACTGTTATTTCTTTCTCACCTTCTTTAAACACATCAAATATCTTTTTCGCTGACATTAACCAGGTCCAACTCGGATGAGACAAAGTTTTGGTCAGTTCCTGTGTCTCCTGTTGGAAACAAAAGGCTGTTTGTGATCAAGGTTCAGGCGGCGCTATCATTGTGGGAACATAATCAGTCTGTCATTTCCGCTGCCCGTGTGCTCTTGTTATTCCTAGGTCCCCTGGAAGAATGGACCTTTTATTCCGCTGCTTATGTGGCAGTGATAAAGTTTCTTAGAAGAGCACACATTTGTTTATGTTTGGTGATTTGTGAATGAACACGAAGCACTTTATTTGGCTTATGGCGTCATCCAAATCACGACGGGATCAGGCAACTTTTTTTGTCTTTGCTATTTATTTTTGCAACTAGTCAAATCAGTAAATGAAACAAGGTTTGTTCACTGAGGAATATGACACAAAAACACAAAAAATGAATGTTTTACTTAGTCTGTGGTAGCAATAGACCAGTTTTTTGTCTAAAGTTCGACATGAAATAACATATTTTAGAACATTTGCAACAGGAGACACTTGGCTTCAGATTCTAGGGTCTGCAGCTCTAAAATAGAGGTCACAAAAATCTATTTTATTAGATTAGGAGTTTTGTCCTTTTTCAATAAGATCAAAAAATACATGCTCAAATTAATGTCTAGACACAGTTACTGTATCTACAGAGATCTGTGTGCAATGTACTCAGCCCTGTGGTGTAATGTAAGTTGTTCCACTTTGTTTCCAACCCTGGTCAATGCTGTGGCGTAATGGCGTAATTTCAGTTATACTGCTGGTCCATTACGTTCTTTAACATTTACAATGCATCTGTTTTAAAATATTCCGTATGGCAACAGCATGTTTGCTTGTGGTATGGGATGTCTCTGATGGCTGCAGGGAGACAAATCACAAGCCAGAAACTTCAAGAGGAGTCTGTGTAGATCTCCAGCTCTGTGCTAACACACTTGCATCCAGGCAGCAAACTTTTCTCTGTGATGAGTGGAAAATAGGGGCTCAGAGTATTTTTTGAGAGAAAGCCATCTCTGTATTTTTTTTTAAGACTGCTGCCTCTTATGGGTTCAGCCTTTGAAATACAGTTAAGACTTTTGATGGGCGTTCGCTGCCAGTCTCGTGGAAAGAGAGGAAAGGCATTTAAAATAAAAAATGAAACGGTGAAAGACAGAGAGGAGGGGATGAAGGCGGACGCAGATGCAAAGAGAATTCTAGGAAGAGGAAAAGACAGAATATAAAACTTTGAATGTATGCTGGATTTAGATGCTAACGCATTGTGGGTTTCTCCACCTCCCCCCAACAGCAACTGTATGCCGCACAGCTCGCCAGCATGCAGGTGTCTCCGGGAGCCAAGATGCCTCCGCTACCCCAGCCCCTCAACGCAAGTGGGCCGATTTCCCCCTCTTCTCTGAAGAACGACAAGAGTTCCTCGAGCCCCATCACCCAAGTTAAGGTACGACCCTCAGTTTCATTAACCAGCCTAAACTTTGAGTGGCACTTGATCTAGCTTATCCTAGATGGTGTTATCTGAAAAAAGAACTATCAGTACAACATTCAGTACTTCAATATAACGACCAGCCAGTTGTGAGCCCAGCTTCTAACAGACCATCAATCTCTAAAGCTTTAACAAGGCCTCTTATTTCCAAACCAGAGCTTTGTGGGCACAGTTGCTATAGCTGTGGCACATGCTTTTCCACAATAAAAAATCTTTTCTTTTATGTTACTAAAAAGGAAATAAACCCATTACAACAGTGCCATACAGCTGCTAACAAAAGTAAAACATGAAGCAGTCTTCTACTTTTTCTTCTTTTTGTTGTCCTGTAAATAAACCAAATGCAGGATGTGTTTTCTGCTGCTGTTTGGCATGACTACTCTGAGCCTCCATGCAAAGAAAAGGACACATTCATCACTCTGGCTCACTATGACCCAAACCAGAAACATATGTCCATTTGAAGTAGTTTAGTTTAATAATATCACAATGAAGAAAGACTATAAATCATGGTGGGAAACCACTCAAGCTTTTCTTCACTCATTTGCCTACACACACACACACACACACACACACACACACACACACACACAAACTCACAGAGAGAGAGAGAGAATCTCTTCCTTTTTGCACATCTCCACTGTTATCATATGAGTACAATCCTCTCTTTCTGTGAGTGGATTCCTCTTAATTCAATCAGTTTTAACAAAACTTCAATCCATGTGAAATACCAAAATGCAATACAATTAAATAATGTTTTTTAAATAAATTAGTTATACATTATGAAATATTTGGCAAACATACACTGGCATCTTCCTATTTCGGCCCACACTCCAGTGGGTTCAGATTGCCTTCAGTTTTGTTTGTCTATTTTCAGCTTCACCGCATAACAAACTGTTATTGGCACAGCAAGAACAAGGCCTCTAGGCACTCTGTGCTTGAGCCATATGTTTGGACAAGGAGACACTTGGGCTCTAACAAATGTCAACATGGGCTTTAACCCGATTCTATAAGCTGCCGTGTGGGAGATGTATCCTCTGCAAAGTAACATAAATGAAATGTGTCATATTTATGGGAGAAAATGTTTAAACTGTCTAATTAAAACGCACACTACACTCAGTGCATATAGTGCCTTTGAGCCAGTGTGTTTTGTGATGGGGATTATGGTTATGGTGGACTGATGATAGTTTACAATGTTGACACTGAAGGTGGCTTTTGAATTATTGTGCATTATACAGTGAGGGAAAAAAGTGTATACCATTGGCTCATTTTGAATGAATAAATGAGCTTAGAGCTGTTGCTTCTCGGTGAGAAGGTCGCAGGATTGCCTCCTGGCATGGGGCCTTTCTGGATGGACTTTGCGTGTTCCCTTTGTGTACTCATGGGTTTTCTCTGGTTTCTTCCCACAGACCAGAAACATGCATGTTAGGTTGATTGGTAACTCCAAATTGCCCATAGGTGTGAGAGAGTGGATATTTTTCTTCTTTGTCTCTATGTGTCCCTGTGATGGACTTGCGACGAGTCCAGGGTGTACCCTGCGTCTCGCACAGCAACTGCTGGAGTTAGCTCCCAGAAAGGAGAAGCAGGTGAAGTAGATGGATGGATGAATGGCATATCAAAGCACGAGATAAAAACCAAATATACACAAATGAAGAACAAAATTAGAAAACAAGTTAATGAAGTAGATAATGTAAGTCGACATCTGATGAATGGAACAGCTGTCTTTGATCGTTGCTACCGCTGTTATCTGGTCATTATTTATTCTTCGAACCGGAGTGCAGACACTGAGAGCAGGGAGGAGGAGAGGCAGAACAGATGAAGACATACAGAGGGATGGAATCTGTTTTAATTAGTGCGAACAAAGGCGCTGGACAACTGTGAGGAAGATCGCAGAGGAGAGAAGCAGAGAGGAGCGGAGGCGGGGGAGCCAGACAAAAAGAGAGGGAATCTGGAAGAAGCTGTTGGTCAGGATCTTATAATTAATCAGAAACCGAGGAGAACTCTGATCCATGGGATTCCAGAGCTCCTCCAAAAAGGGAAAAGTGGGACCTGTTCAAATCTATCTTTTTTATTATCTTTTTTACTGTCGAAGGAGGAGGGTACACAGCCTCTAAACCTATCGGCTCGACCAAAAACGACAGACATGGTCAAGTCTCCTACATCCCCAACATCAAACCTGTTTCCTGGCAGTAAAAACAGCCCCAGCAGTCTCATCGGCAAAGGTGGAATTCCAAGCCCACTTGGAGGAGGCCTTGGTCGGGGCTCATCTCTCGGTAAGATCCTGAAATTTCTCCAAACATCAATGGTACAATTAAGTTTTGTGACTATCGGTTTCAAATATATGATTCTTGTGCTAGTGCAATGTGTTCCAATACAAGTGATTTTGCTGTCTCGGCACAGACATTTTGTCCAGCCTAAACTCCACTGCGTTGTTCGGGGACCAGGACACAGTGATGAAGGCCATCCAGGAGGCTCGGAAAATGAGGGAGCAGATCCAGAGGGAACAGTTGCAACATCACCAGCAGGGCATAGATGCAAAGCTGTCTGCCCTCAGTTCAGTGGGCCTCAACAACTGCAGAGCTGACAAGGTCAGAATCATCTAGTCTGTCTGTTTTATCCCTGATTCACATCTCCTCCGTCTCTATATTTCTTTCCATAAATCAATAAACATGCAAAAAAGTGCTCAGATCTCTTTAGATAGAAGAAGTCGAAGAAAGAAACTATTCAAGAAAGTGGAACATTTTGATGCAGCAATACATTCTAAGGCTAATAATTTTCTTTAATCAGCATCCAGGGTGGTCGTATTGATAAGAGCTGGCATAGTTCAGCATGTGCAAGTGTGTTTACTCAAATTAGCATGAATGTTTATGTGTGCGTGCTCAGAGGCTTCGGTGTTGTTGATGTTGGTGTGAGAGCCATGACAGGCCATGGCAGTGCCCAGTGTGGGTTAAGAAAACTCTGAAGTCTTTGCCCAATTAAAGCCAACATGCAGCCCTCTCCGTCCCTTGACACGGGATGAGGCTGCTTTGTACCGGGAGCACACACTCCCAGGGATTCCCTTTAAAAATATCTTCAATCGATGAGTCAATCAAGGAAAGAAAAAAGCTGTCCTCTCCTCTTCAGCTTGATGCCATGTTGCCAGTTGGCTGTGAGGAGCAGGCAGAAACTGGGAGCGATGCTCATTAATATTTCAGTACCTGACACTTTCAACCAACACCCTCAACTAGGTCAATGTATATGTAAAAAAGTCTATGAATATCTATTTTGATTTCTTCCTAATTTGGTGTTTGGAAGAGATTACTGTCGTTGCAGGTGGCAATCAGCTATGCTCTTACTGAAGTGAAGCAAATAGATTAGTGCAGCCCAGCAAGATGATAGAGATGAAGCCCCTCATGCACTTACTGTATGCCTTCACAACCTTGCAAGGAAAATAAAAAAAAAGTTTTATGATAACGATTTGATTCATTAGCTCAATTATGAATAAGATTTTCCTCCCTAAATTTGACCAATTTTAAACACAGTCAAAAAAAAACTTGTGGAAAAATCCTTCTCAACTCTTTTTTATGGTGCTTTCTGATTGTTAGAAGTCAGAATTTTAAAGTAAAAAAAATCAATAGGAAAACCCTCAAAGGTCAAAACTTTGACCCAGGACGTTGGAGGTTTGCACGCTTTTTTAACCTCAAAATCTATTCTGGCTGCCTTGCACAGAAAAAGCTGGTTTTTTTAATATACTTTTGTCTGTTTGCAATCTTATTAAATTAGTAGCACACCATGTTTACAGCCTGTTAGTGAACATGTTGCCACAGTAAACAGATTATTACAACATTGCCATTTTTTATTGTTAAAAGTTAGCCTGGTCACAAATCCTATTTGACAAATTGATGACATCTGAGTTTTAAGATAAATTTAAACACCACAAAGCTTTTAGCATAATATAGCTTTTATTTAACTATAAAATGAAAAGCACATGAATTGGTTTAGCTGCCTTCTTTCCTCACAGCTAAAATGTGCATGTGGTTAACTGAGCAGGCAAATCTGCCCCGACATGCAAGCAGTAACTAAACAATGCCATTTTCCTCAAGCAGCACACCTACACCGTCATTGTTCTCAGTAAGTAGAGCTCAACGCCCTTTTCTTTACTTCCAGCTTACTCTCTTGTGAGTTTCGGTTTGTTTTCTTAGGGTTTTGGACTCGGCCTGTGTGTTAAAACATCTCAGAGGAGAAGAATGCCTGTCATTTCTCTTCTTTTCTTTTCCAGAGGGATTTTTTTTTTTGTTGTTTACATGAATCAGTCACTCCTCACCTGTAATCAGCCTTTTGTTTGTACTCATCACTTAACCAAAAAGAAAGGGGAAAAAAAAGTGTTTTTGTGTGGACTAAATGGAAAGGTGAGGGATGGGTCCTAAATGACTGTAATAGGGATAGAAACTTGATAAATTAGAAACAAATATTAAGATTATATTGACAACCAAAAAATTGTACCTCATAGAGTAAATAGGAACATAAAACATTCTGTTAAGTCATGTCTGCCCCTGTCTACACTTTTCCAAAGAACAGCATCACTAAGTTCTACTGAACAAGATAACCACACTCATGACTGACTTTCCTGCTAAGAGCTACATAGATTCTATCAGGACTTAATTTCAGTGATAGTGCTCCTAAAAATGATGATGTGATATTATAAAAATGTTATTAAATCAGCTAAAAGAATTGCCTCATCACCTTCACCGTTTGGGCTGGGAAAAAAAACAGTAAACTGTAATTCAACTGTAAAATGAGAGTGAAGAAGGAGTGTTTTGCTGATACAACAAGCCAATAGACTAGAAAGGCTTGAATGTCTCGGATAAAAGCTTTCACTTTAGTCAGTTTCGGAATATTAATATTTAAAAAAAAGCATCTCACCTGACATAAATATGGCGTGGTCTTTAATAGCTCCCCTTCCAGTCTCTTGTTTGGAAGTTTATCATAGTGAGAGCTTACATGAAGAAGATTCTGGAAGGTAACATAAATGGGATTAAGGAGAGGTTAAGATCATTCAGTGTGGCTGTTAGAAGGGGGATATTAAATATTGATTTATCCCGGTGTAATGACCGGACAGAGGAGTGGGTCTAAGTGCTGCTTAGATGGATCAATTCATCTTTTCACACAAAGTGTATTTGAAGAGTACAATGCGTTCCTCCCAAGCCTTTATCACTACGACTCTGGCTCTCTTTCCCTCCCTTACTGGCCACTGACCTATTTGAGAACATAGGGTAGATCAGACTTTGTTCAAGTATACAAGCCTTTAACCTGAGGACATGTAAAATATTGATGCTTTACAAGAGCCTTTTTGTTTTATTTCATTTTTTTCTTGTTTTTTATTTGTCTGTTTTTACAATATTCCATCAGTACAATAAAACCTTTTTACAACTCTTCTACAATTTGTCTTTCTGAAATATTTATCCAAAGGTATTATTGTCTCTGAAGGGCAATTACTTTGTTCCATTATTTACCATCTACTCCTCAACCAGTGGAAGCTTTTACCCAGAATGCACCACTAGGCCTGAAGACGATTACAGAACATCTATTTGTAACCATTTCAATGCTTTTCAACTGTTTTCAGTTGAAGAATCAGTATTTTTGTTATTTTATTGTTTACAAATTCAATTGAATTTTCAGCTCCAACAGTTATTGCAAGTACAACAGAAAAACTTTGACTTAAAATTTTTAAGTTTTAGACCCATCGGTTACACTGTTTTACACCAGTAAATCTCTGAAAGGTCAAGAAAAAAGAAAAATGCAAGCAGAATAATCCAACTTTGTGTTTTCTTTTACTTTTTGGTCACCAATGCATCCATTTCTTTTCTGTTAGTTCTGATAAAATGCAGCTTATTTGATGCCTGGGATCTTGTGTGGAAGAAAGTATATTCTTCTGCTGACAAGTCCTTAACTGGAATCAAACGGGGGAAAGGTCAGTGTATTAACCTATTGAACTGCCCTTTCTGCCCCACAACACCACTTTTACTCAGTATTGATGGCTACAATTGTCCATTTCTCATATCCCAAAGCTCAGCCTGTAAATATTCAAGTGGAGATTACACTTGTGCTCCACAAAATCCAGACTGCTAACCTATTGGTTGTAGTGGTTCTTCAGTTCTGCCTGTGTGTGTGTATGTTGTATGTGTGCATATATCCACACATATAAAGTGTGTGGATGCTGGTGATGCCAGGGCTCTATTCAGGCAAAGCCCTCACAAAGACTTTGACTATAATCTTGTCTGCTTTGCAGCCCTGGAAGCAATTTTCTGCTCCTTTTCGACTGGTGTCTTGGAAATTGCAAACCAAGGCATTTTGGCTGCAGTGTAAATCCTTGGCATACAAGGGTTTGCCCATCCAAATTAGATTATGCTCGGCTCCCAGGCTCAGGCTGAAGCCAGCAAGTGCTATTGTGAAGATTGCTTACATTAATGCTTTGTCCGATTGTTAACACTCGCCAAAAGAATAAAAAATAATGTAAGACTGTGCATAAAGTGTTCTTGTGTGTGTTTGCATGAATTTGCCTATCTACAGGATCGTGTCCCAGTTCTAGTCTGTCACTCCATAAAAACCACATCAAACATCTTTGTTGGGCAATTTATTGGCAATATTTCTAGATTCCATTTTAATGTGATAAATATTTTGCTGCTACAGTTGTTTATTAATGCTACTGGTACCAAGAAACTGAAATCTAATACTGGACTCAATACAAGCTGTATACAACAAAAGATTAAGAAACAAAAATATTGCAAAAAAACCTGCTATACGTATTTGGACTCCAGTGTCGAACAAGATTAGAAGTTTTGTCCTGATGAGAACAAAGTTTCAGTAATGCTGCAGTTTTTCATCCCCAGCTGTGCACAACCAAAGAGTGTGATAAGGCTAAAGGTTTTAGTCCAACTTATAATCTCATCAAGACTCCATGAATTGTTCTGGATCATTGAGGACTGAAAACCCGTAAAAGCACATGATGTTACCACAAGTGATCTGAGCAGGGTAGATGAGAGGAGGTTCTGTCAGAAACATTAAAGTGTAGAATGGACAAATATTATATATTCCAATTTCTGGCCTGGATATGACGTACCATAATCCTATGAAATAACCCAAAATAGACACAAGATATTTAAAGAATTGTCGATTAGTTGAGAAGTAGTCAAATTTTAGGATTTTCTTTTTACTTGTACAAAAAATTATATATATATTTTTTTTTCTTTTTTTTTTTCTTTTTACATTACTAGATTTTCTCTCATTTGTCCAGGTTGTGTTTCTCCAATTCAATCCCCCCTGTAGATGTTTGTATACTGGATTCACCCCACTTTTTATCAAATAAGATGTGCCGGGACAAAAATAGTTTTTCATCTCTGCTTTGAGAGGTGTTGAAACATTTGCCAGCCAGTCTTTTGTGGCTGCTACTGTTGATTCTTCTGCTGCCTGTATTAGCCTTAGCACATGAACACGGGGTGGGACAACAAAAAACAAGCCAACAGCTTCTAAGAAAGAACCTCTGGGTTTACCACATGGCTGGATGTACTTAACATTTAAATGGTTTAAAACTCACTAAACTACTGGAAAG